TTTCATTTGACAGGGTTATGTTAGCTAGTCGAGAAATCAAATCATTCCACTCAACTAACTTTGGCCCTAGAATTGATCGTCGGAATAAAAAAAATTCAATGGTGTTGGTGCTCATAACCTCTGCCAAAGTAGAATGTCTCTTTCGAGCCACATTGTACAGATAAGGATATTGATATTTGGAACGTACTAATGTATATGCTCAAAGGATTCGAATGACCAAGCCCTGTAAATTCTTATTTTTAATTATTATATCAACATGGCATAAATTACAGTTTAGTTGTATTTTGGATGGACCGATTCATCAAATTAAACAACTTGAACATGAGTCCATATTTATGTTAACCCCTTGACCCCTCCCCTCCCGCGTTACTTTTCTATAAGAAAAGGAAATTGCCTCTACTATTCTTTTAGCCATCTCTCTGTCACATCCATGTGACCATTCTGTAATAGCTTTCTCAAATCATATATAGTCGATTCATAGATTCAAAATCCTTTACTTCTTGATCATGTTGGTGTTGGCATACACAACACATGATGGTTAGGTACATCCATGCATTGAACTTAGATGTGTATGTCAAATCTAAGATTTCGAAATAGGAAAATGCATATGCTAGATTCTATGTGGTTGCATGTTTCCTCGCTGTTAGATTTTAATCTAATGGCTAGGAAGTCGTCTTCAACCTTACACCAAGGGAGAGGGGGACTAGGGAAGGCAAGAACATAAAAGGGAGGGTAGCTTACCGATGCAGCCAACTAGCTCCTTAACTATCCTTTCATCTTTCCCCATTGTTCGTGACACCAGACTCCAATGAAGAATTTACAGATGAGGGTTAGGATTTTAGGATAGGGGAAAGAGGGCAGATTCCTTACGCTTTGAGGGATTTCCAGGGAGGCGGCAGACTAGCACTGCGTGACGGACAAGGACAGGCGGCGAGGCCAGATGAAGCTAGAGGGGGATGGTTGATGGGGTTAGCGGCAGGGCATTATATCTAGAGTGGTTAGGAGGCAAGGGCATCTCGATGGCGCAAGCCACCGGAGATGGAGAAGACAGGCAGGATGAAAGCTAGCTCTCGCTGCCCAACTGAGAAAGAGGAGGAGGAGGAGAGGGGAGAAGGAGGTGGAGGAGACTAGTGGTAGGTCTCACCAGCAGTAGTGTGGCTGGGAGGGTAACACGCTAGCTCAGGCATAGGAGACATATGTTCGAGTGGTGCGCATGTGAAAGATAGGAAGAGGAAGAGAGATAAGATAATGTGGGTAGGGTACCACAGTTGCACAAATCTTAATGTGGTCTGGATCGTCTAAAAGCTACTAAATTTATGGGTATTATCATGTGACTAAAAGCTATACAATCCCTCATAAATAACGTACGTCAAGCAAATACCTACTACATCCCTCATAAATAACGTACGTCAAGCAAATACCTACTACATCCATTCTAGAATGTTTCAACTTAGATTGCTATGTCCAGATTTGTAGGTTGTAATATTTCAGGACGAAGGACGAAGTATAGCCATTAGAGATCTCATATCCAATTAGTGTACCCTTCTCTTCTTACACCCAACGCTTGTATATTGGGATCCTCTCTCTAAGTATGTAGTAGAAAATAGGTACTATATAATATTATATATCTAGTAAGAGGGTAGGTAGTTAGACAATTTTGGCAGCTCATCATCGATATCTAGTGCCATACAACACACAACTAATTTACTGTAAACTACTATATCTATATGTATATACCTAACTAAAAAATAAGCAAGGGTCCAGTAAAAAAAACTCCTTTTCTTTTTCACCGTTTTCCTTTTTTTCGTTTTTTCGCCTTTTTTCTCTTTCTTTCCGTCCTTTTTTTTCGTTTTTTCTGTCCGTCTTCGTCCTTTTTCTCACCATATTTTCTGCTTTTTTCGTTTCTCCCCGTCCGTATATTTTTTTCGCTATTTTTCCGTCCATCTTTTTTTCGCCTTTTTTCTGTCCGCTTTTTTCCATCCGCTGTTTTATTTTTACCTTTTTTTAGATTTGTTTTTTTATCTGCCATATTTTTTTCCTCGTGGGCCAAATTAAAACCCAGCGTTGTTCGTTACTGCCTCCCCATGTGTTCCTTCTCTCAATTAATTGTAAAAGTTAATTCTCCACTGCTCTCAATTTTTCTCCTTTCAATTCCGTTTTAATTCACCGAATTTAATCTCTATTCACCTTTTTTTTATCCTGAGTTTTATGGATTCACTTCGATTTTGATAAAAACAGAAAGAGAAGATCGAGTGTATCAAAAATCATCAACCAATCTTAATTAGAAGATTGATAAAGATTCGACCGGATTTGATGGTGAGAATCGATTTTGACATGGGACACGAGACTGAGACGACCGTCGGCTATGCGAGCTAGAACTATAGCTGCACTTGTAGGTTAGATATAAGAGAGGTAGGCCAAACAGAGCAAGCTAGCTAGTAATTGTGACAAACTAGTAAAATAATGGTTTGTACGCGCTGAGAAAACGGTACGCATGCAGGTGGATCCAGCGCGGCGATAGATCGATCACGTACGCGCGTATACGTTACGTAATACACGTACGGTGGGCAACTCGCGCAACTGTACGTACTCTCGCACGGTCGTTATACATACAGGCATGTATATATGTACAGATCGATCGTTACTTAAATCGTCCCGTGACAGTGAGTGTTATATATATATATATATATATATATATATATATATATATATATATATATATATATATATATATGATAATTATACGTACCTATTGGTAGAGTGGTAGTATAATAAACACGCACTATCAAAATGCACATGTTTTGCTAGCTATGAGTAAAAAAAAATATCATAATATGCCATAGACAAGATACATTTTTAATCAAATATGTTAGTATTACTTGGTTGCCTATTTAAATATGTGGTAGTTAGTTGTTTGTAATAAATACTAACACCATCAATATCGGCAACATATCCTATGCACACAAGATCTCATGTGTACACACGTGCACACCAACTAACAAATGTCATAAAAAAATCTAAAAAAATTTGCATGTTTTTCAATACTATTACACCTAGGGGTAAAATCTTAACATCAAATTCATTATATTTTAGAACAGAAAAAATATGACAGTTTTAAGGTTGTCATTCTGTCAAAATTTTATCTTTTTTTACTCTCTATATAGAATAAATTTGAAGATGCAACTTTGCACATAGATGTAATACTATTGGAAGTACATGTATAATTTTTTCTAGAGTTTTGTGATAATTTTTAGTTGGTGTACACGGTGTGTATTACGTGAGGGTCTATGTGCATAGGATACGCTCCCCATAACATCAAAAAATATCATGGGCTAATTTATAAAAACTGCAAAAGTAGTGATATGGTGACAGTTATAGATTCACTGCCACCACCACTAGTGAGTGCCTTTTAAAGTAGTATTAACTGACATCGTCTTTGTCGGAATCTTTTAGGACCCCTAACGGATGAAACTTTTGTTTCTCTATCAATTACTTGCCTTAAGCTGGATCATATCCAAGGTTGCAGATAACTTTGTGTGTTTCGCACACATCCAGCATATAAAAGTGTCTCGGAATTACTCACCAACCGATAAACTTCTCATGGTCTTTCTCGTTGTAAGCTAGGTCCTCAACATTGTTTTAAGAGTATCATTATCGACATCCACCCTATGATCACCCAACAGGGATTGAACAAACATATCATCTTTGTGTCTTCCTCATTCAGACCGTCGTCCGCTTCATCCCCAATATTTTCTAGCTCTTGCTCTCCATACTTGGTCCAACATGAGTAACCTTTCATGAAGCCTCGACAGATAAGATGCGTGTGTATTCTAGCACTATTGTTAAGCATCTTCTTATTCCTACAATCAAAGCATGGGCACGTCGTCTATTAATCGTTCATTCTGTTCTTGTCTTGCTCTACAACATTTATGAAATCGGCAACACCCCTTCTATACTCCAGGCTCGCGCGATCACTTCCATACATCCAACTTTTATCCATCTATAAATTATGAAAAAAAATAGATATAATATATGTAACTATATATTACACAAAAATTGTAGTGGTAATTTGTTTATTATTACCTAGGGAACAGTATACTGGGTTGGGATTTATAATGTGAGCTAGCTATCCATAACAGGCCACAACCAAACCCCATCAAAGATTAACTCTCATCGGTGATGGGCTTCACAATTATCTTTGTCAAGTCGTAACGTTGGGTCCGTCACCGATAACTCTTATCGGTGATAGGGTATCGTATCGATCATTCACCGATTACCTTGAATGAGCTGCAACCAATCCCCGTAACCGATGAGAGTCATCGGTGACTGGCCTAGCCCTAACTCAGTGTCTTTGCGATGGGGCTTTTTACAACCTGACAAAGATGAATAACTTTATTGTAACGGGCCACCTCCGTCACATATAAATCGATTGGTATGCTCGGATTTGTACTAGTGCTAGGCTTTATAGTACCCTGGGTGGATTATTTAATTCTAGCTGAATTATAGCATGTTAACTAATATGTATTAAACTTTCGATAATTTTTGTTTTGGGTTCCTATGTGCATGCATGTACGGGCGGGCGGCAGGCGTACGTTCGTACCATCGTAAGTACGTACTCCTTACGTGCGTGCGTGCGCACTGCTTTAACTGATGTCTCTTCCCGCCGGCGGAAAACGTGGGCCGGAGGGGTCCCGGCCGGCGATCTTTGACCAGGTGCTGAGCCGGGCACTCAGCGACCGACACGCCCTGCCGCGTGTACGCGTGCGAGGTAAAAAGTACCACACGCGCTTCAGAGTTTTAAGCAGTGGTACGTTACACCAGGGGTACACTAGCCTCCATTCAGCGAGACAGAAATGGCCCAAAGCTTACATTGCATCACGGATCGAAGCAAGCAGATCACATATACTCTCTCCGTACCAAAAAGAATTGAACTCTAGCTATGAATCTTGTTCAGATTCATAGCCAAAGTTTGATTTTCTTGTTCAGATTCATAGCCAAAGTTTGATTTTTTTTGGACAGAGGATGTATTCGTGAAAGAGCATAATGTTTTCCTGAAAAGTATCTGTTTCTGAATGTAAAAGAATAATAATATGATTACAAACTTGTGAGCACTAGTGGACTAGCCTAAGCCTATTACTGTAATGGCCCCCCATAAACAAGATGTGTATATGTATTTTTGTCGAACTAACTGTTCTGTATAAGTATTTTGTAGAATCAACATGCCTAATCCTTGGTTTGATCAAACTCTGTCTTCTGTATAAAGAACTAATCAATAGGGATGTAAAGAATCAATTGAATTGTTTGCTGTTGATGACTACCCTGAAAACATTTGAGCGTCATTCTGATCAGGAGGCTCACTTGCCAGAACGCCAGAAACCCTTTTTAGCAACAAGAAATTGCTGTTTGACAACTACAGTTTCGTAGTGCAGGGACTTGAGAACTGGCCGCATCTTTTTTATCATTTCTGTGGTGTCTCTCAACACAAACCATCTGTCAGGTCTCAATATCCTGTCTATTTCAGCTGCTACCTCCATGATGTCACACCTAAAATAAAGATGCAAAGATCACCCTAGATGATTATGAGGTAATGGAGCAAAAGTAGTAAATATTTCAAGGCCTCGCTGCATACCTATTTGTAAGACTTCCAAGAAGATAGCTCATGTGAAGGAGATCATAGGTCCGTGGGTACGTGTTGAAAGATTCACACCAATCATGATATACCCCAATAAGGCCTCTGTTGAAAATAACTGGCAAAGTATCGGGCTGACCGACCGGAACAACATTCATTACCCATAATGGTTTATCAACAAGTGCTGCTGCAAAACTGGTTCAACAAAATAAGATTGATTAACATCCAAAACAAGAAATGAAGTCGTGTTTTTGTTTGATAACATATATTATGTAGATCAGCATCTAGCCATATTAAGATCTTTAATATCATTATTTAAGTTTCATGTTCGCCTGATCCCCATATAGGAAAGAGACCTGGGTCCAAATGGACAAATAAGAGCAACATTTAATCCATTGCTGAAGCAATGCACAAGTTCAAGCTATGTTTAATGATTAGTTCCTACATCTTTCTAACAAAAACTACATATTCAGATTGAATGGCAAGAACTCAGGTTCAACCATCATGTACTAAATCTCTAGATCTCCATGTATACAGCAACAATGCCAGAACATGGTCTAATGCATTTCTGTAGTGATTCTAAAAGAAAGGAATGAAGTATTTGACTGAAACAAGCACCTCGTATAGACCCCCCCCCCCCCCCCAAAACATGCCATCCCAAGTTGAACCACTAAAACTCTACTAAAAGTCAATCCAAGAGAATTTCGCGGAATAAGCAGCAGAAAGTCGTGTTTTCTTACCCTCCATAACCAGCATTCATGTCCATTACATTGCGGGTGGATGACCAATTAACTGGAAAATCATTATAGTATATTTCTGAAATGGCATGTTTCCAATACTTCGTATCAACATCAAACTTCTCGTCGGTACTTGAAGAATCATCAGGCACATTTAGATATCTGGCATTAAGTCTTTCAGGCCAAGGAAGGGGCCAGCTGCTCTTTTCAATTGAACTGGAAATGCATGTATCAAGAGGAGCGTACCTGCAAAAGATAAATTGTATACATGTCACCAAACAGAAAATACACTATAGATCATTAACGGTATCTAAAACATATTTAAGCAGGATAGGTTAGTAACTATCTTTTCACTGTTGTCTGACAATGAACCAATAAGTAATCATCAGAAATAGGCCACTGGTGACTACAAGATCAGATGCAATCTGACTTTATGAGAACAGGGAAGAAAGAGAAGGATATGAGCTATAAATTACCAAGGAAAACGGGGCCCATCTTTCTTAGAACACATAGGGGGTTCATTTGTCCTTCTCTCCAGGTAGCAAGAGTTTGATGCTGGTTTTTGATATACGACAACACCAATTCCATTACTATCTTCAGATTTTACCACTGTTCTCCAACAGATTGATTTGGTAAGTTTAACCATTGCTGCCACATGTGAAATGGATATTTCAGTGAACACAGATATAACCCACCAAATAAACGACAAATGTTAACTTGCTAAGTAAACATTGTTTTGGGAAGAAGCAAAAGTACTAGGCTATTTTCATTAGGAAAGTACTAAGCAAAAGTTTTCTTGGGTGATATTCTAAGCTGAATGCTTGGCAGATAATAGAACATGACACCACACAAACCATTCCAGTCATCTTGATCTCTTTTTTCTTGACGGTAGACAGGGGTTGCAGACCAAATGTAATATCCTCCAGGCCTGAGAACTCTGTTAAGCTCCAACAATGGTTTTCCACCTGCAAATTCCCAGTAGCAAATAATAGTTAAAAAAGAAATTTGCAAGAAACCAAAACGGACAGTTTTCTGAGAAAATAATATAGACACTGTGGTAGCTTCTTATAAATTTGGTGAAGTAATAGAATACTTGCCATTCGCATACCAATGGACCCTGCACCTTGCACAGTGGACAACATCAAATGCCTCATCAGGGAAAGGAAGTTTTTGTGTTCCAATAACAGCTAGAAATGCTGGAATACCACGTTCTAATGCAAACTGTATCTGAGCTTCATGCTCATCCTTTGGGGCAAATGACATGGTAATGACGTTCCTGTCAAGCAAGTATCCACCAAAGCTGGCAACACCACATCCAACATCCAGGACAGTTTTTGTGTGTGTTCCCCATTGAATGGTGGGCATTATCTGTAAACAAAATTTATACATGACATTAGAAACAGCAAGTTATGACTTATGACAAAGAACTGGTGGCAGCAGTCCTACATTCAAATTACCGAACCCCAACAGAGTCAATGCAAGCATAGCCTTTGTGTTTAGCCCCCTCAAAGTCTAAGAATAAAAAAAATTGACAATATTGAAATTGCCAGTATACTATAAAGTAGAAGAAAAGAACAACAGGAATACGACTAAGGAGGGTCCTAATTCACAAGACCAACAACTCATTTGGACATCAAGGTACTTCAAAGTAATATCTACCTGTTCAATAAACTGAATGTATCTTGTAACGCCAGTTTTGAATTGAGTTCCACCTCCAGGGAAGACAAGATAGTCACCAGATTTTGTTACCCAGTTTTGGTCCTTCTTATACTCCACCAATTTAGGGTGAGGAACATTGTTGTACCAAATCTGGATTTGGAAATGAAATGAGATGGCTTCAAATAGTCAGTTAATGGCATCTTAACCATAAGATATTCATGTAACTATCATAAATACACACACTGCACTCACTGCCTTGAAAGTTGAAAGCCTATAAAACGATACTAGTGGTTAAAATAGTATATGCACAAAAGGAAATTTAGCCACATTAAAGGATCACTAAGCACAATCTGCTTGACACCCAACATTACAGCTCTTATCTGGCATTCTCTATTCTGCCTCACGACAGTAGCTTCCTAAAACAGAAGATAACAGAGAATGTTCTTAGAGTGTAATGAACACTAAGGAATATTATATACGAAAAATGGAAAAGAGTATCAACAGCCAGAGCCACTTTCCCTCCCTCACCGACGGAGGCAAGCGCGCGAGGTCCTCACCATGTCACGGCTGCGCGGCCACGGCACGGGCGACCGGTACCCGGAGGGCACCCGCACCAGGCACCTGGGCCGCGGCGCCACGGGGCAGTGGCGCTCCCGGTGCTCCATGTGGCGCCTCGAGCGCAGCGCCTTGATCGCCCTCATGTTGTCGAGGCACGGGATGTAGTCCGCCGACGACACCCCTCTCCCCGGCCTGCAAGTCTCCCACCTCACCTTCGCCGCCGGCTCGTCCCCGCCACCGCCGCCGTCGTCATCCGCCACTCCCTCCGTGGCGGCGGCGCCCTTATCCGCATCGAGCCGTGGCGACTCGCTACTTCCACCACCTTCCCCTGCTGCAGCGTCGGCGTTGACGGCGGCGGCGGTGTCGTCTGGTCGCGATGCGGTCTCTTCGGCTTTTTCGGTTGCGTCGGCGCTCTCCCCGGCTTCGGCGCCGCCGGCGACGACCGCGGGAGGCGCGAGCGTCGTAGTAGGGGCGGTGAGGCGGGAGGAGAGGACGGAGAGGGATTGCGCGGAGGGGTCGAGGAAGAGGAAGGCGAGGGCGAGGAGCGCGGAGACGAGGAGGAAGAGCGACAGCGAGAGGAGGAAGGGCCGCCGCTTGCGCTGGTCGGAGGTGGGCACGGCCATCGTCGCTGCTCCCTCCTCCTCCGCCGCCGTGAAGAGATGCCGGAGAGGCGGAGAGAGATCGAAGACGGTGGTGGCGATGGTGGTGGTGGTGGTGGTTGGTCACTTGTTCACTCGGTTGGTCGGTCGGTTGGTTGGGCGGGTGGGAGGACGGAGTCAGGGGGGAAGTGGAGCGTCGCGGCCACGGCGGGTTGCGTGGTTGGCCTTGGCCGGCCGGCGGCGGCGGCGGCGGTGGCGGTGGCGGTGGGTGCAGGTCGTTTTCGACGGTGGTGATGAGCCTTCTTCCCCTTCGATTTTGGTATAGTTCGTTGTTGCAGAGCTAGTGCGATATCTGATTTTGTTATGATTTGTTGCAGCTAGTGCGATATGCCGGTATCCCGTCGAGTCCTTGGCGGGTTATCTGACTCTGACGAAACGTGATTATTCCATTCTGGTTATCGGTAATGACGCACTGAGGAAAGCGGTAATGCAACTATACCCGTTTTGCCAGAACTCATTCAACCCTCTCGTCTACGCCAATCACCGAGTCAAAAAACATTCACCTGGATTTCAGTTACAGACTAGTAAAAACATTCACGGACTTCAGTAACAGACGTACGGAGAAGTATACACCCTCCGTCTAAAAAAACCGTATATATATTATAGGACAATAAATCTGAACAGATGTATATTCAGATTCATGTATTAAGATGTGTCACACCCAGTACTAGATTAGTTTTTTATGGGATAGTAATAGAATGTGTCACATCCAGTTCTAAATTAGTTTTTTATGGGACGGAGAGAGTAGGGCTTACAGCTACATGGTATTGCACCAGAAAACGAAAAAAATGTAGCCTCTCCGAATCGATGGAGGGCACATGCCGATCGATGTGAGAGCATCGCCAACAATTTTTCTTAAGTCCTCCTCATCTTAAAATTAAGGAATTTCATTTTACAAAGTAATTCCAACAGTTCTCCTAATCGTCTACTCAAGAATTAGAATTTCCTTTCCTGTAAAAATCGCTATTTCACAATTTAAGCATCACATCTACTCAAGAAGTTCCCTTTCCCGTGAAAATCGCTCACAAGTTGGGCGTCACGCTCGCTCCTAATCGATCGTGCACCGGGGAGGATGAGGCGATCGTGCGACACATCAGGATGCAACAAAGATTTATGTTAGTAGTTTAGGGTGTCCCATATTTTTATTTCAGGGAGTCAAGTTTTAGGTTATGAGAACCATAATTTTAAGTCCTAAATGCCCATCAAAGAATCCTGCAATAAGATTATTGAATTGGAATTTAGGGGAACTGTGGGCCATGCTCTGAATGCAGTGATAAGGTAGAGCCGTAGTTGTATTCAAGTGATACTTGCTTAAGGTGTGAAGAGGGAGATTACCATTAAACTTCAGTAACAACACCTAAACAACTAAACCCTGTACATGTTTCTGGGGGAGAAAAAACAACCAAAATTACAACAGACAAAGGATGAAAAACTCTATCTGATCTGTGCCTGCACTCGCTGCTGACGCTGGTTCTCCTTCAGCTTCTCCCTGGGTGACAGTTTGTCACCGATCAGCGTGACCTTCCAACAGTCTGCTTGGAGGATGAAAACTGACCCAGCTTTTGGCACAACTGCAGGTTCAAACTTTGTAATTAAGCCACAAAGATATGCAGATAATATCTATAGAATCGAATGTCTCCATGCAAACAGAGATTGATAACACCAGCCGATGGACTGACTGACAAGAGTATTTCAGGTGTCTCGAGCAAGAAGCGTTCAGGTTGCTGGATGGAAATTTCAAGTGCGTAGCCCTCAGAGCAATACATAAGCTTTCATAACAGAGCACCTTCCTACTGTAAATTTATTATGCTATCTCACATTATTTTCAGTTGACAGCTCAATGAGCATAATATGGAGGAAAAGAGCTGCGTAAGAACTATGTAACCGTATTTATATGATTGAAACAGACACTGACTTGAGGAAAATAGCATTCATCCTATATACGCGGTTAAATATTGCACCAGGAATTTGAAGAATTACCTCGGAAGCGATTGTCATCTGATATGATTCCAAAAGTCTCTGCAGTATCGCGAATCATGATGCCGCATACGCCTTGATAAGAAGAGGCTGATTTGCATTCTGCCACTGCAAAAGCCACAAAACCATAAGAAATGATGATAAAACTAACAGAAACAAGAAAGCAATTGAATACGCAGCTCATCTTAAGCATATAAATCACCTATTACAAGAGCCCCATGAAGATCTGCTGAGAGGAGGGTTTCAGATAACTGCTTTTTCCTGCAGAAAAGGCAGTACACATAAATACTTTTTTGTGATTAAATAACTCATATATGGCATAGAAAGGTCACAATAAAAGGGTCATAACGAAGTTCTGGAAAAAGGAGGAATTGATCCCTTACTCTATTGTTTTATCTAAGCTGTTGAAATCATTATTGCATTTGTTGATTTATCCAACTCTTTGAATGTGTTAATAATTCAGAGCTAAAAATGGTATATTCATTTAATCTCTGAGAACTTTGTGTAGTCCACTTCCATAAAATGAACCTGATTTCAGCAATAATTTGATATGCATACCAAAAGATTTAGTCCCTACAGTCAAGGAAGTTTCTGTACATAAGCAGTTTGGGTGGACTAAATTTTATTATAGCATATAGTTCTTATTGAAAAACTTGAGTTCAAAAGGGTAGAATCAAATTAGTAAACCTATCAGCTAATTCTATCAAAGAAAGCACAAGCAGCCAAAGGTCAGTGAGGTTAGAAGCTAACATCGAGAGACTGGTAGCAGCAGAACCCAACATTTGTGCACTTAATGTTTTTTCGCTTTTACTGCAGTTTTAGTATATAACAGAATAAACTTTATGCCCCAAGCAATAAGTAAAGAACCAGAAGGTGAGAACAGTAATAACATAACCAAAAAGATGGTGGAATCCATACGGTGTGCTTTTGGTAAGCTCTGTGATATACTCTTTCCACATCTCATGCATTGGCTTGTAGAGGTCAAACCTGCAAGGGCAAGCCACATATGTAAAAAGTACATAATGTCCAAAGGTACTATATTATGTGAAGATTCAATCAAACATGTAAAGTGTAGTTTAATCATTACCCTAAAGGGATTCCATTTTATCAAAAGAAAACCATGATAAGGAAATTATGACTGAGGACAAGAAAAGGAGTCAATCTATGCACTTATTCGGAACAAGACTTACTTGCGGAGTGTCTCAGGTAAATCAAATGACCCACATTTCTTATGTTGCTTAAGTGACATGTGCCTTTTTGATCGCTTTGAATGAATTAACAAAGATTTTGCCTGTGCATCAACTAATCTAGGACCCCTGTGAACATAGTTATCCAGCAGAATCCCTTTTTCCAGCTTTAACTTTTTGGCTCCCTTGGTAATTTTTCCAGCATCTCCACCTTTCTGAATTATGTCATAAACAACATTGTGCACAACATCCATACTGTCCAAATCCTACAACAATGAAGTACACTACAATAAATATCATAAGTTATTTCCTCATGCCTAAATTTAATTTTTGAAACCCACACACGGAGAATAGGTACCGAAATGCTTCTTTGGAGCAAATTATCATGTGGAGCAAATGAAAGTTCAGAGTATACAGGATTGGTTTCTCCACCTACAAAGTTAAATGTACATGTCAAACAGCCACACACAGAACTCACAGATCTATGTATGTTAGAGCCTAAGAAGGCACCTGAGGAAGCAGAAGAACTGGAGATTGCTAGACCTGAGATCAGAAGCAGTGTTAGAAAAAATGGCCAGAAAAAAAAAAACTGCATCAAAAGAATGATGGGCAACATTAAACCTTTTTTTGAAGGAAACGGAGCAGAAGTTCGAGATGGAATGAAATCTGGAGCTTTGCCTTTCCTTGATGCATCAAGATTGGGCTTGGGCGCACTATCTTTATTCCTTGTCTGACACCTAGGCTTGTCTTGCAGTTTCTTAGCTTTTGCAGCAGCATAACGTTGTTGAAGGGCTTCTAAGGTCCGTTTCTTCTGATCGGAAATAGTTGACATGCCTATAAGAAAGATCTGTGGTTAATCAACAGTTCAACACGAATGAGAGGAATCTCAGTTCACAAGGCAAATGAACATATAAGAAAGGAATCGCCTTCCATACCACAAGTTTGATAATTCTGCAAACCAACAAAAATAAGTAACAAGCAGCAGACTCTAGACGATGATAGGAAATAAATTGATGCATAGAATGCAAGGTTTGCACTTAAGATACATGCCACTTGAAAGTTTGGACTTAGAAATATGCCACTCCAAAGTGGAATTATTTTGAAACATGCCACTACGAAGCTAAATTGGTTGATTAAATTGCCCCTATGACCTTCTTCCTCTCTTTCCATCATCCCACTCCAGAAGTTCTCTCGTCCCTCTCTCCAGCAGGGCTGGATGCCGGTGAGATCCTCTCCCCCTGGCCAGCAGGCCGCAGACCTCCCTATGCCCTGTGACTGGCCAGCCCCAAGCCCCTCATTCCCCCTCCCTCCGGTGGCACATTGATTCTGCAAAGGAACTTACCTTGCCAGCTTGCAGCAGCTTGGCAAGAAGAGACCTCCAAGCCGAGGCAGCCCTCGGTGCAGACCTCCCTGAGGAAGAGCTAGGAGGCTCACTGGCGGACCCAGGATTTTGCCGAGCCCTGGGCCAACACTAATTGCTATCTTGAAGTGGGCTATTGGAGTAGCTAGGAATTTTTCGTTGGCTAGTTCGACTTCAAAAGTTCACATCACTAATCAAAATTTCTAAACACTGCAAATCCCATATACAAGTACAAATTTGAATAAAAGGCGTCACAGATATAACAATAGTATCTTATAACATCATAGCCAACTAATTTAACAAGCAAGTTCAAAATGAGCAAATATTACCACCAGTGCCGGAGGAAGGAAAAAAATTTAGGTGTGGCCTATGAATTACCACGGAAGTTAGCACAGAACGAAAAATCTCAATGCACGTCATTATACGACACAATATCATCTCAATAAGTCTACATTAAGCATGGCAAACAAGAACTACTCACAAGTTCATGATTCATCATCCATTTGCAAACAAGTGTAGATAGAAGAATAGGTTCTCAGAAAATATCTCATCTTCTCAAGATTCATGTTTTCAACAACACATCACATATAGGAACTACAGTACTAAGAATAGATAGATATATATGTGGAATCTACAAAACAACTAGTACCAAAGATTGATTAATGTTCACATATGTAGAATCTGTTGATGGAGTGATGGATACTTGGCTAGTTGGCTTGCTTGCTGTCACTGCTTGGTGCTGCACGCCTGCACAGATGTTGTGCCCTTCGTCCCACCCTGCTCGCAGGCCCCCCTGGTCCCTGGCGGCTGGTCGCGCTGCCGCCTGGTTGGAGAGGATGCCGCAGCCGCAGCTTTGCGCCCTGGAGGCCGGAAGCCTGGCAGCCACGCCCTCCACACCTCACCCAGCCCTCCAGCGCGTGGCGAGCACCGCAGCAGCCGCCGTCCACTGATGGGGATTGGGGAAGGGGATTGATGGATTGGGGGAGGGTGGAGGAGATGATTCAAGAGACAAAACAAGACAGGCCGCATTTACACTAAACAAGCCTAATGGACCTACTAGCTATCAGTGTGAGGACCAGCACTGGCACACGCGGACGCGTCCACAGCACGTCTCGGCCGTCGCTCGTCTTCTCACGATGCTGCGTCGCCATTCTCTCTGACCCGGTTGTTGCTCTGTGCGGAGGAGTACGAGGAAGGGGGAAGGGGGGGTGGTCAGCAGGCGGCACGAGGTACGGCGAGCGCCACACCTCGCCCTACTGAGCCCTCCGCCCTGGTCCCAGGATTTTGCCGAACCCCAGGCCAAGACTAATTGCTATCTTGAAGTGGGCTATTGGTGTAGCTAGGAATTTTTCTTGGCTAGTCCGACTTCAATAGTTCAAATCACTTACCAAATTTTTTAAACACGGCAAATCTCATATACAAGTACAAATTTGAATAAAAGGCGACACATAAATAACAATAGTATCTTATAACATCAATAGCCGACTAATTTAACAAGCAAGTTCAAAATGAGCAAATATTACAATAGGTCAATACCAATCCCCAATCCTCTTTATGTTTCACCCAATAAGCTAATTCCAATCCTACAATAACAGCAGCGATTTATTCCCATTCAGCCATTCACAAATCACAAATTGGCAACCTAAGCTATGAGCTAACTAATTAGCCATGACAATAAGCAGTGAGGCAAAATTATTGAGTTACGTCACAGAGTCACTGACCTTCAGTGTTGTCCAATCGCCAATCGGAGTCGGAGGTGGAGCGCCGCAGCGGGGAGCCGGAGTTTGGAGACCTGCCACGAAGGATTGGAGGAGACTGGAGAAGACGAGACGGGCAGGGGGGCCAGGCGGCCGCGGCGGTCGGCGGCTGGCTGAGCCCTCAGGCACTCGGCGCCTCTGCGCGACTGCGGCTGCGCGTCTCGGCGTCCGTCGATCTGCGCCGATGCGGTGGCTGGCGGGGCGCGAGAGGCGGGCCAGGCGACCGGTGACCGGCGGCGAGGAGAGTCGCCGGTCGCGCCGTTGCGCGTGCGGAGGAGGCAACCAGCACTGCCGCCGTTGCCGCTTGCCAGAATGACAGCCCTAGCGCTGGATCGAGGTCACAGACTCACAGGTGGATCGGGCTAGATTGAGATGGGCTTTTCCCACAGGCCACACGGCCCATGTTAGGGGAACTTGCTTTCTGCATAAGTTGGGCTGATATTTCAGCCCACCTAACAATGTGAACTTGCGAGCTGCACGGCCTGCGGCCTACCAACAACGCAAACTAGTATATCAACCAGTCAAAAAGCAAGGACCTATGGTTCGAGTATTTCTTTAATAAAAAACAAATAGTACAAATGCAAATGCAAAAGCTCACCTTATAAACACACACACGTCCTATTTCCATGAGTACCTGCAGAAAATTGGGCTAGTATATTTTTGAGATTGATGGGGTTACAATGGGTGCCTTGCTATCGACGTATATGTTGTATAACAACACTAAACGAATAATTAGCCACTAATATGAGTACCGTGTGAAGTTTAGAATTTGAACCTGGATATGCATGTTCCGTAACAAGAAAAGGAGCACCGTGTGAAGTTTAGAATTCAAACCTAGATATGCATGTTCCATAACAAGAAAAGAAAAACGAGATTTGGAGGAAGAGATGTCCCTCCAAACATCTTTTAAAAAAAAGTTATAAGTATGTTGGGGATTAACACGGGACCTTAGATTTGAAATCACACACCCCTTACCACTACTATCAAATGCCTCTTCACGTTCCATCACAACAAACCTAATTAATTAGACCCATACCGCCGATTCAAAATGCGCGCAGTACAATTTGAGGGTCCTAGCGTGTTTCTCGTGTAGCTATCGTGAATTCTCTATTATCGCCTTATTGGTCACTATATATGTGTCAACAAGTTTTAAAAGGCTCTATTTGACATTACGAGAATTATTTTACAAAGGAAAAAAGAAAGAAAGAAGATGGCATTACAAAGGAGTAGTAATATGCAACTCAAAGTCAAATCCATTTTAAATTACTATAGCAACCTGGGGTCTCATCGTCATGACCCAATCAAATGAAGCCACCGTACGTATCAATGAATTCTTTATCTCTGCAGTCGTGTTAATTTGCAGCTGCTAAACACGATTGCACTAAAGATGGCGACATATGTGTGCTCATATGAGGACACATGCCACCGTTTTCGAGATGAGTAGTTTGGATAAAATACTTTCTATCTGCAGCTTCTCGAGAGCTAGGGCACACTTCATGCGGCCGGTGTGCTTCTTGCCTGGTCAGGGTTAACAGAAACAGACACATCGTCAACTAATATAATACTAAACTGATGAACTCGCCCATGGCAACTCATCTCACTACATGTTGCAATAATGTGTCACACTCTACATACATTCATAGTGTCGACATCTGAAAAAATCTATAGACTTGTAGAGTACTACAACTACTCCATCCGTTTCGTTTTATTTGACGCCGTTGACTTTTTATCACATGTTTGACCATTCGTCTTATTTAAAAACTTTTATGAATATGTAAAATTATACGTATGCATAAAAGTATATTTAACGATGAATCAAATGATAGGAAAAGAATTAATAATTATTTAAATTTTTTGAATAAGACAAGCGGTCAAACATGCGCTAAAAAGTCAACGGTGTCAAATAAAATGAAACGGAGGGAGTATTTATTTGCAAAGCCAACACCGGGTTTTGCGAAAGATTGATCGTGATGACAGTGTTTTATGTGATTCTTTAATACTACTGGTGAATTTGGTTGTGTGATGACAGTGTTCAGTGTTGTAGCTGGTATGCAGGGTTCAACTAGCTGGGAAAACATATGTGATTTAATTGTGTGCTTTATTAGATGGAGTACTAAAGATTATTCTGCATTCCAAATGATCTAATACGATTCACCATGTTCTAATATTAACTTTAACTGTATATATGGTGATAAGTTGCTTGATGGGAAAATCTCTCTTGTGGAGAAAAGTGAGGAGATGTTCACGTACGTACATCAAATTATACGTACGGTAAAAAATGAATATGCTTTGTTAATTTAATTGGATTAAAAAATTTGCATGTACTTCCATTTCGTCGATATCTCTTAAAAAAGATTATCACCAATGCATGCAATAATCGGTTGTTTTGCTGGAAAATATACTGCTCCCCATGGCACAAGCTTCTAGATTTGTTATCTCGAGTTGTCAACATGGCATGCATGATATTGTTAACAATACTCTCATGATTAGAAATATGCATTTCATACATTTAAGTTGTTAATTCTAAATTATTGGCACAAAATAATCAATTATACATATCAATATGATGAGCACATTGTACGTAAATTGCGGGGCCCATCAAACACGTATTTGGTGGGGGCCCACCATGTGCGTTCATCGGTTGACAACTATGCCAACCAAACACGTATATAGTAGGCCCCATCAAATATGTTCCTATTTGACATCTATTCTCATATGACTTACTCTATTTTGTTAGATTTACGAACTACTAATATTATAAAAAGCTATACGTTGCTATCCACTTGTCTTTATATTTCTCGGATTGGTTGGCACTTGTTGTATCAATACTTACAAACTTATTTTATATTTTCACAGATCTTAGGGTAATTTATTTTATATTTTCACTAGCATCTTAGGGTAACTCTTAGGGTTTTCTTTTTCTTATCCAGCCTATAAAACTATTTTATATCAATATATATGCTCCTCTACTTAGGACAGTCCCAACCCATAGTGTTCATAAGCAGTGTCTATGGTGCCATGTTAATAAGACATCACAATAGAAACTACACTCTCTACAACCCATAGTTTCTTAAAGTGGACCATTAATAAATACATCATCTCTCTTTTCTACCAATCATATTTATTTTTCATCTAATATGAAGACACTATTCTCTCCCAATGCAAAACTTGATAGTGTCTAGTGCATAGGTTCTCATGTTGAAGCTGTATTTTGCATGAGACCCAGTTTCTTTCTCTTTTCACTCTCTCTCTTAATTAATATAGTACCACATAAGCTAAAAGTATTACATGGTAATGAAGTTAATGCCATAGACACCATTCTAGATGGAGGGTTGAGACTGCCCTTATATCCATATAACTGTACGGATACTATCTCCACATTGGTTGTTCGATCATCACCAATCTTTGGCCACAGGCTAAAAAGATGGCTTTCGATCTCAAGCTAACCGCATGCCTCCTCCTCGCCGTCTTCTCCCTCGCCGCCGCCGCCGACTGCGAGTGCCAGCCCAGCGACGAAGGCCACGACGCGGCCAAGTCCCGGACGCTCAAGGTCATCGCCATCTTCTGCATCCTCGTGGGCAGCTCAGCGGGGTGCGCCATTCCGTCGCTCGGCCGGAGGTTCCCGGCGCTCCGCCCGGACACGAGCCTCTTCTTCGCCCTCAAGGCGTTCGCCGCCGGCGTCATCCTCGCCACGGCGTTCGTGCACATCCTCCCGGTGTCCTTCGACAAGCTCGGCTCGCCGTGCCTCGTGGACGGGCCGTGGCGGAAGTACCCGTTCACGGGGCTCGTCGCCATGCTCGCCGCCGTGGCCACGCTCCTCCTCGACACGATCGCCACGGGCTACTTCCTGCAGCGCGCGCAGGACAGCCGCGGCGCCGTCGCCGCCGTCGCCGCGTGCGGCGGGGACGCGTCGTCGTCGCACGACCACGAGCGCGGGAACGCGCACGGCGTGTCGTCGGCCGTGATCGCGTCGGCGACGATGCCGAACGACGCCGCCGACGACTGCGACGACGCCGAGGACCGCGCGAAGCTCGTCCGCCACCGCGTCATCTCACAGGTTTACTATATATATATATATAGTAAATTTGTTTGGTGCTCCATGGTGCCCGGGCACCATTGTTGAAATTGAGTATATACCCAATTCAAATGAGCATGAAACTTTTTCAATTATTTAGGTATTAATATTAACTACTTTACTAACTAGTTGAAAGCAAGTTTGAACTGAATTTGAACTTGTTTTTGTTAGATTTTGATTCTAGGTATATAGCATCCATACATATAATTAGTTAGGTATGTAATCATGGATTGTGAAATAAAGTTAAATTTGAGTTGTTTTGTTGATAGGTATAGGTATGAATCGAATTCTTATAACTAGGTATATACTCACAATTTGAAAATTTTGAAAAATTTGAGTGATTTTGTGCATTTGAAACCATGGTGCCCGGGCAACCATGGTGCCCCATATGAGTGTCATATATATATATATATATATATATATATATATATATATATATATATATATATATATATATATATATATATATATATATATAGCTGGGCGATGAACATGGATGCGCGTTAATTAATTTAAATTTGCTAATGTTCATACGTTTCTTGGTTTGATATGAATTTGCATGTGTGGATGAAGGTGTTTGAGCTGGGTATCATAGTGCATTCGATTATCATCGGGATATCACTAGGTGCATCCGAGAGCCCAAGCACGATCAGACCGCTCGTGGCCGCGTTAACATTTCATCAGTTCTTCGAAGGGATAGGGCTGGGAGGATGCATTGTTCAGGTATGTGTTTTCCTTTCACTACCACACGACACTAATTCAGTGTCGGTTCCAAAAGGGCCAACAGTGCTAGATTTGGATCTGGCACCGTGGCTCTATGTTCTCGGCACTGAAAAGGGCTCATCTGTGACGAACGAGTAAAAAAAGGCTGAGCTCTCGAAAAAAAAAACAGGCTGAGCCGGATTTGAGTTAGAGGATTATAGAAACTATAAACTCTGTAAATTACATGCAGTCTTTATGTGCTTCATGTGGGAGTGTGGGACTACTCACAAAACGGAAATGCTTCAAGACAAAAGAATATCTACCATGACAAATTAAAAGACAAAAGACATATCTGAATCACAAATCTCATGGAATCACGTATCTACCATTCACATCACATAACGTGTATACCTTCAAATGAAAAGGATCTAAGTTTCAAACAAAAAAGGAAAGAGAGAATCTACTCTATACCACTGAGTTTATTCAAGTTTAATGATTTTCCATCGATATTATCTTTTTCTACAATATACCGACGACTTTATCAATTGTTCTACAATGTGTCATTGGGCTGGGCCTTCTTTTCAAAAATACCCAAAATACCCTTAGAAATATACAAGATTAACAATTGATTTATCTCATTAGAAGTTTCAAAAAAAATGAAAATTTTTAAATGGCATCCTTACACAACATGGAAGTTTGTATACAAGTTTCAAGTTTTTTTCTGGTATATTTAGTTTTTAGAAAAAATATTTTTATGTGGTATGTGAAAGAGAATTTGCTTATATAAGACATAATAGAATAAAAATATCTTATGTAGTGTATGAAAGATGATTTATATTAAAAACAATAGTAAAAAAGTATTTTTATATAGCATATAACAAATAAGTTATATATTTTTTAAAAAATAGAAATGTAAAAAACTTAAAACTTCTATACAAATTTCCATGTTGTATAAGAAGGCCACATGAAAGTTTTCATTTTTTTTTGAAACTTCAAATTAGATAAATCAATTGTTAACCTCATATATCCATAGGGGTATTTTAGGTATTTTTGAAAAGAATACTTAGCCCAATGGCGTATTGTAGAACAATTAATAAAGTCGTCGGTATATTATAGAAAACGACAATGTTGATGGCAAATTGTTGAACTTGAGCAAGCTCAGTGGTATAAAATAGATTCTCTCAAAAAGAAACAACAAGAAAAAAAGAATTGAATCACATCATAAATCCGATATGGTGAACTTATTCTCATACTTTTTTCTTCTCGTCGTCGATGGGGTCAGCAGCAGTGATGGGAAAATGGGACATGAATACAACCAGGTACATGGGTTATCGATGGTAAGACTTGATGGCATCATGATGGGATCTGGATGGATCCAACCTCGCCACCGCTAACTCGATCGGTAAGGTGACGACAAATCTAACGTCACCAAGCTCAACCGATGGCCCCCAAGCTCCAAGTGGCATGATCCGACAACCCCCGAGCTCTAGGGAGCTCGATCTAGTGGCCGATGTGCTAGGGAGGGGTAGAGAGTCGTCACCGCACTGGGGAGAGGTGGATCCTGCGGTGCCACTTGCCGGTGTGGGTCAAGTGACAGGGATCGAGGGAAGGGAGAGTGGACATAGAGAGGCAGGGCTGCTGGGGAGAGACGAAGAGACGAAGGGAGGTTGGGAGAGGGGAAGCATATGCCCTCTAGGATCAGTCGGTCGTGTAATGGGACTTAACCACTCGGTTGATCGGCTCAGTTTTTTGTGGTTCCCTAAAACCAGCACACATAGTAGTTTTGGGGTGTCGGTTTTCTAAAATGCTACTATTGATAATTATTATTGATATCGATTATTTATTAGTATCTTTTTATATGGAACCAACACTAATAATTGTTATCAGTGCTCTTCTTTTTTACCTGTACAGAGTGCATGTGTGGCCGGGTTTTTGTCCAATGGTGCCATACTAGGTGCCATCCATTTAAAATTCTATGGTAGTGTTTCCAACAACACGAAATGTGAGAAATCTGCAAAAATATTATTGTTGTAGTGACTAGTGAGTAAGGGCGTACAAACGTGAGTATCCCATTCACTTCATAATGTTTGTATGCTCATCCTCAATGGTAGTCGGAATCGAGATTGCTAAGGGGCGATCGATCGCCCCTAGCGATCGCGATCAGATTCGGATCCCCCCTCTCCCTCCACCTGGTTTTCTTTTTTTTTTGGCACCGCATTACTTTACTATTTTAATAAATTTATGCACCTAAAGTTTGTACACCTCAAATTTACACATCTAAAGTTTAGAGAGACCTAAAGTTTATAAATCAAATGTTTATATATCCGATTCAAATTTGAATTTAAATTCAAATATTTTTTATATATAGTATTTCTATACATCTAAAGTTTATACACCTAAAGTTTGACCCAAAGATTATAAGTCAAAAGTTTATATACCCGATTTAAATTTCTATTTGAATTATATTCGATTCAAATTTGAATTTGAATTCAAATATTTTTTATATATAGTATTTCTATACATCTAAAGTTTATAGACCTAAAGTTTATAGACCCAAAGTTTATAAGTCAAAAGTTTACATCCCCGATTCAAATTTGAAATTGAATTATATCCGATACAAATTTGAATTTGAATTCAAATATTTTTTATATATAGTATTTCTATACATCCAAAGTTTATACACCCAAAGTTTATAAGTCAAAAGTTTACATACCCGATTCAAATTTGAATTTGAATTCAAATATTAATTTATAGACCCAAAGTTTATAAGTCAAAAGTTTATATACCCGTTTCAAATTTAAATTTGAATTTAAATATTTTTTATATATAGTATTTCTATACATAAATTTTTCTAACTTTGTTTTTTTATTTTTTTTTAAAATTTATGGTGTAGTAGGAAGAGAAGAAGGGGAGGGGGAAGGGAGGTGAGGAGCGAAACTCCTAATGGGCGATTGATCGCTAGGGGACGCCAGGGGAGATCGGATCTGGTCTCCCCCTCTCCTCCACGTGGTTTCCTTTTTTGGCACCGCATTACTTTCCTATTTTAGTAAATTTATGCACCTAAAGTTTGTACACCTCGAGTTTACACATCTAAAATTTAGAGACCCAAAGTTTATAAGTCAAAAGTTTATATATCCTATTCAAAATTTTTTATATATAGTATTTCTATACATCTAAAGTTTATATACCTAAAGTTTATAGACCCAAAGTTTATAAATCAAAAGTTTACATACCCGATTCAAATTTAAATTTGAATTATATTTATTCAAATTTAAATTTGAATTTAAATATTTTTTTATACGGAAATGCTAAACACCGGTATCCCGTTTGGGCACGGTTGGGATGGGACAGATTTTCTAGGAATCACAGAAATCATCACGAGCTTATCCGAGTCCCACTCTCAACAGAGACACAACGTTTCTTGTGCTTATCCAAGTCCCCCACTCACAGTTCTCTCACCGTGGGCATGGCGCGTGAGATCTCGCTGGCGCCGACGGCGGCGGTTGCGGCGGCGAAGCCGGTGGCGGCACCTGCTCGCGTCCGCCGACGGCGGCAGCTCCACCTCTTCAGTGTCGCCACCGATGCACACGAGGTCAGTGCGGGAGAGCGGCGTGAGCGTGGTGGTGGTAGTTCCACCTCTTCAGTGTCGCCGCCGATGCACACGAGGTCAGTGCGGGAGAGCGGCGTGAGCGTGGTGGTGGCAGCTCCACCTCTTCAGTGTCGCCGCCGATGCACATGAGGTCAATGCGGGAGAGCGGCGTGAGCGTGGTGGTGGCGCCGACGCCGACACCCACCGCGTTTTCTTTGGTTGACGGTCTCCATCAACAGGAGGTTCTTCATTTTCTTGCTCTAAGCAGTGTCAGACGATACATCGATCGAATCAAATGATATGAACTTATCCATGTCCACTCCATGTACATATATTTGATCTGGAAGTTGACGGAAGCAAAAATCATTTCCCCATATATGAACAAATGAAGTGTATTACATGGGTGTAGACTTTTTGTGGAGTAAATACCAGCCATGATACCGAGGAGGATCATGGCACCTCCCAAGTATCACATGATCGTACTTAGTTATAATCTGTGAAACCCACAGAAACCATGATACCAGTCATGATATTGAGCAGAATCATGATACATCTCATGTATCACATGATCCTTCTAAGGTATCATCTATAAAACCTGATGATACCAGACATGATATCTGAGAAGAATCATGATACCTCCCATGTATCATATGATCCTTCTAAGGTATCATCTATGAAACTTGATGATACCAGACATGATATCTGAGCAGAATCATGATACCTCCCATGTATCATATGATCCTCCTAAGGTATCATCGGTGAAACCTGATAATACCATCCATGATACTGAGGAGGATCATGATACCTCCTAGGTATCACATAATCATCCTCAAGTATCATACGTGAAACCCGCAGGAACCATGATACCATGCATGATATCTAAGTAGGATCATGTGATACATCATAAGTATCACACATAATGATACTTTTGATGTATCATGTATGAAACCTTCAGGTATCACACAAGATGATATATACCTAGCGAGGGATCATGCGTGAAACCTTCAGGTTTTATGATACCGAGAAGGATCGTGAAACCTCCCAAGTATCACATGATTCTACTAATGTATCATCAATGAAACCCGCAGGCACCATGATAGCAGTCAAGATACTCACAGTCTTGATGGTATTACTCTCATTCACATATTTTTACTGCCTATCACCTCGATTCTTAAACCGGGCCTTCTCAGCATGTTGTCCTCCCACTGGTGTCAAGTTCATTGATGCAAGCTTTCTCTGTCAAACCTTGTACTATTTTGATTGTAAGATCATATCCTTGCAAAACACGATTCTGAGGATGTTTCACAAGGAAGCAGAAGAGCCGGCGGACGACGAGGGTGCCGCTGGAAAGAAGCAAGGAATGGCGCGCGATTCCGATGAGGTTTCACCGGGATGCAGAGGAGCTGATGGACGATGCTCGCGGCGGTGGAAGGAAGCGAGGAATCGCGCGCTTTCTAGGAGGATTCGCCATGATGGGGAGAAGCCGGTGGACGGCGCGCGCGCCGGCGGGAGGAAGCGAGTAATCGCGCGCGGAGGCGAGCGCTTCCGAGGAGGTTTCGCCGAGATGCCGGGAAGCCGGCGTTTGGCAAGCGCTGGTCGTCATTCTCATTTTGCTGCAATGCATGCAGGTGGTGACAGTTGCTCAGAGCGATGTCATATCGGTATCAGAATCGTCCTGTTTTTGAACGGGATTCCGGTATATAGCATCCCCTTTTTATATATAGTATTTCTATACATCTAAAGTTTATACACCTAAAGTTTATAGACCCAAAGTTTATAAGTCAAAAGTTTACATACCTGATTCAAATTTGAATTTGAATTCAAATATTAGTTTATAGACCCAAAGTTTATAAGTAAAAAGTTTACATACCCGTTTCAAATTTGAATTTGAATTCAAATATTTTTTAATATAGTATTTCTATACATAAATTTTTCCAACTTTGTTTTTTTATTTTTTTTAAATTTATAGTGTATTAGGAAGAGAAGAAGGGGAGGGGGAAGGGAGGAGAGGTGTGTACGGGGGCATAGGAAGAGAAGAAGGGGAGGGGGAAGGGAGGAGAGGTGTGTACGGGGGCATGGGGACCAAGTGATCTATCGCTCATTAGCCACACCTGGAGAGGAGTGTATAGGGGCGGATGGGGATCGATCGCTCCATTAGCCAGGCCGGTGGGAACGTGGGATCGAGCCTAGGAAAGTACAGATATACAGCATGGTAAGTGGTCAGCCTTCATTCTTGTCAGCTCGCTAGCTTACCAAGGTGCAACATTTATCTACAGACTTCAGCTCTTCGGTGTATGGTTAACTGGTTCTGTACCACTTTATTTTTCTCTAAAAGATGACACTACTATAATAACATCTCATATGAGACGTCCTACCAGTGCCAGTTAGACAAAAATCCGTCCCGATGGGTCTCCTCCCCGCACAACACTGTGCACACTCAAATAGAGCAAAAACCGGCATTGATGACATGTATAGGTGCCGGTTCGAGAAACAAACCAAGACTGACGTGATGGTCTAAAACTAGCATTTATAAGGTATCCTATAGCAGTGTGATATCATGGATGGTGTGAGTGTGTGATCTTGCTAGCTTTGTCAAGAGAAACCCATTTAACTAGGTCGAAGGAATAAATTATCAACCTTTTTACTATATTTGTTAAAGAATAACTAGGTTATGAAACTTAGAAACATAAGTAACGGATTTTTCCACACAATTTTGTCTATGACTCTTAGTTTTATTCATAACCTTTAAAACTTAACATGTAGAAAGAAAAAAAACACTTGTAAGTAAAAGATGTTAGATACATTAAAAGAAAATACGAGAATTTTAGATTCCAAAAAAAAAAATATCAGTAGTGAGACTCCTTTCAAACGTAGAAATATCATTTTATACAAATGCACGCTGATCGATATATAGGGCGGTGAAATTTACCCACTTAATATATAATTGCAGGCTAGGTTCCATCTTAAGTCTGCAGTGACAATGGCCATCTTCTTCTCGCTAACCACACCGGTTGGGATTATGATCGGTATCGGCATCTCCTCCGCCTACAATGAGAATAGCCCCACGGCCCTGATCGTGGAAGGCATTCTCGACGCAGCGGCTGCTGGAATCCTCAACTACATGGCGCTCGTCGACCTTCTAGCTGAAGATTTCATGAACCCTAGGGTGCGGAAGAGCGGAAGGTTGCAGCTCATCATCAGCATCTTGCTGCTGGTTGGGATAGCTTTGATGTCCTTGCTTGGTATTTGGGCTTGAATAAAACTTAAGAAGAAACTCCTTAAATATCTGACTACTCCCACTCCGTCTTATAACAAAAGGGATTTTGAATAGATGTAACATATCCAAGTACAATGAATCTGGACATACTGTCTGTCCAGATTCGTTATACTCCCTCCGTCCCAAAATAAGTGCAGTTTTGCACTATTCACATTTAACGTTTGGCCATTCGTCTTATTTGAAAATTTTTTATGATTAGTATTTTTATTGCTATTAGATGATAAAACATGAATAGTACTTTATGTGTGACTAAATATTTTCAAATTTTTCACAAATTTTTCAAATAAGACGGACGGTCAAACGTTGGGCACGGATATCCACGGCTGCACTTATTTTAGGATGAAGGTAGTACTAGCATATGTCACGTCCACCCAAAATCCTTTATATGATGGTGCCATTCGTTATGAAACTATTGTTTTTAAATAAATTAATTATGACATTCGTTCAGAAGTTCAACAAACGAAATAAAGCTGCATATGGTGCCATTTCATTGTCCATTGTCTGGCTCAGAAAAAGTTGGTGCGCTTTCTTAGTCGCAATCATTAATTGAAACTGCAGGTTCTATCGTTTTATGATCTTTGGTACTAGTAGTACTAATTGACTTGTAGTTGACGCCATTTTTTATTTATCTTTACGCGAAAAATGGCGGAACATAATGGAATCGGAGTAATTTAATAATAACTTATTGATAATTGCACACACCATCAAATCACGCCTAGCTAGGGTTTATTCGGTTCATCCCTATAATGAATGAATTGAAGGGGGACTAATTTCACATCTCAATAGGAGTGGTATAAGTTATCTCTAATTCCCCTTCAATCATTTTGTGAAAGGGATTAACCGAACAAAGCCTAGGTTGTGTTTAGTTCAGCGCAAAGTTTGGATTTTTGTTGAAATTGAAGATGATGTGACTGAAAAGTTGTGTATGTATGACAGATTGATGTGATGGAAAAGGACTGAAGTTTGGATCCAAACTTTGGATCTAAACACAGCCCTAGAAGAGATAAAAGAGAGACAACTACTAGAAAACCGATCTGACATAAAGGGGAGATATTTTCTTCTTGGGTGCACACTGTACCGCCATATTCCTAAGGTGTACTCCCTCCGTCCCAAAAAAAAAAGACAAACCCTGGTTTCCGTGTCCAACGTTTGACCGTTCGTCTTATTTGAAAAAATTATGAAAAAAATAAGACAAGACACGCATAAAATATTAATCATGTTTTATCATCTAACAACAATGAAAATACGAATTATAAAAAAAATCATATAAGACGGACAGACAGTCAAAGTTGGACACAGAAACCCACGGTTTGCCTCTTTTCGGGACGGAGGGAATATTAAGCCACCAGTAGGGAATCGCTCCCTCTCGATTATCTCTGTCGATAAACCGTCACGAAACATTTTCACACCGGTACTTAACATGTGTTTTTTTATGTCCTACTCAACTACTCATGTTGGTTTTTCATGTTTATGTTATTCTACTCATGTCGGGTAATCCTTTTCAGTTTTTATTATCCCTGACAGTTGGTTTTTCATGTTCATATCATCCTACTCATGTCGAGCAATCCTTGTCAGTTTTCTATTATCCCTGATAGTGTTTGTCCATCATAGATCCTGTAGCGAAAGTCTTAACACACAATGAAATCAACTGGGACTACGGCAACAACAAATCTTTGGTCTCACTAAATTTTTATTGATAATGTTCAAAAGACAAAAGAGACAAAGACCTGCGGCGAATTCATGTCTATTAAATCTATACTTTGTATAAAGTTATAACCTATTAAATTTAAACCTCAACACGTAAACATGCTACACCATTATCCACTAACAATAATTACAAGCATGCAATATCATCTATAATTTATTGAATCTTACAAAATAACACGCAAAGCATATTCAATTATCGCCTCTCACATCGTTTCCGTAATTTTTAACATATTTATCCATCATTTTTTAAATACTTAATATATATTTATCCATATATTCCGTATCAATGCACGGGATATTATTTAGTTTGTTTCATGATTAAACCTTAGCTTTTCATCATTTTTTCCTATCTTCGGCCTGGTTTAGTTCCTAACTTTTTCTTCAAACTTTCAACTTTTCCATCACATCAAAACTTTCCTACACACATAAATTTTCAACTTTTCCATCACATTATTCCAATTTCAATCAAACTTTCAATTTTGGAGTGAACTAAACACACCTTCCACATCTCGCGATGCAAATCTTGGCCAACAACATAATATTTCATTTATAATCTCCTACAGAGCTAGCTATTAAATTTATTTCTCTCCAAACATAGCATAAAACAAATTTATTTGTTGTTAATAACTAATATAGTGTTTACTCCTTGCTTGATTGTTGAAATGACATATTAAGGATTATTTAGTAATACCGGCAACAAATCACGTGCCTCACTAAATCCTTGTTATAAATGCACCAACGAGAGCGTACACTCATCAGCACCAGGATTTTGAACCCCTATATAACCACATCTTTAGTGCTTTCCTCGATGATTCATCTCTTTATATTTTTGTTCGATAAATATGAATACCATTATATATGTATTAACTATTAAGTCACAAAACTTTGACTGCATATATATACGTCGCCAGAATGTTGCCGTGTACAACAGAAAGAATTATATCAAGTACGGTGGCTTGCTGTAGAAACTTCGTCTGCTAAATCTAATCTAGGCTCCGTTTAGTTCACACCAAACTTTCCCTAAACTTCCAACTTTCCATCACATCCAAAACTTTTCTACACACATAAACTCTTAACTTTTTTTTTCAAACTACCAACTTTAATTTTTCTAAACTTCTCCTCAATTTTAGAAACTAAACACAGCACTAGTGTACGTCCTTTAACATCACTTAAAGTCCAGATAGCTAGGCAACTCCACTAGATTGGCACTAGATTAGCAAATGTAATCTAATCTAGGAGAGATGACCTAGCTTTGCATACTTCCAATCGATGAATGTCGACACTATAGCAACACTGCCAATTTTCAATCAGTACTATCATGGAGACGACTTCCATAAACTACCAGTAGATTAGATGCTGCTAGCTAATTATTTTTGGAGGAGCTCATAGTTTATTTATTTATTAATTAATAATTCCAGCTCCGGTTTCGTCTCTGCGAAGAGTAGTAATAGAAGTACGAGTAGTTCTTTAATTCCTCGTTAGGTCTGAAGATCTATCATGCATGCTTTGATGAGAGTAATTAAGTACGGCAAGCATGGAGCAGCAAGTACACACTTCAATTCTTTTCTGCTTCGAAAACAGAGGAATCGACATGTGCATCTCACATTTGGTGGAGGAGGTGGCATCCTCACCTGCTCCTGTGTCCTACAAAATTGAATTTCTTTCTCTTTTTTTTTGACCAATTTCATTGAAATAGAAGAACCGGATTAGTGCATGTTTCACATTTTCATGCTTATACCTGTTGTGGCAAAGGCAAACCACACAAAAAATTGGAAACGCATCAAGGCCAGCCAAACTGTTATTGTTGCTCGAAGAATTAATTAACTAAGTAGTTATAATTTAATCTCAGTTGAGCGCGCGAACGCCCCAGCAATCAATTATTTCTCTTCTTTTTTAAATTTGTTTGTTTACATGCAACGGATCGGAGACTGAAATGGAGAGTCCACGGGTTCAAAAGGCCTAGAAGAACGAAGCGGAGCTTAGCTCGCGCATGTGCCAACCTGAACCTCCGCTGCGAAACGCCGCGACATCTCGCCGCGCGAGCTAAGCTTAGCTGCAGGTGAGCCATCGGCGATGGCGACGGCGGCGATGACCAAGGTGTTCGTCCTGCTCTTTCTGGTGGCGGCGTGCTACCTGCCGGCGCACGCGGCGGCAGCGGAGTGCGACTGCGCGACGGACACGGCGGGGCGGGACAAGGCGCAGGCGCTGCGGCTCAAGGTCATCGCCATCTTCTGCATCCTCGCCGGGAGCACCGTCGGGGCGGCGCTGCCGTCCCTGGGCGGCAGGTTCCCGGCGATCCAGCCGGAGACGGACGTGTTCCTCTCCGTCAAGGCCTTCGCCGGCGGCGTCATCCTCGCCACGGGCCTGGTGCACATCCTCCCCGCGGCCTTCGAGGCGCTCAGCTCGCCGTGCCTCGTCGGCGGCCCGTGGAAGCGCTTCCCGTTCGCCGGCATGGTCGCCATGGTCTCCGCCATCGGCACGCTCATCGTCGACACCGTCGCCACGGGGTACTTCCACCGCACGGACGCCAAGAGGAAGGCCGCGGCCGTCGCCGACGAGCCAGCCGACGACCTGGAGGCCTCCGACGAGCACAGCCACGGCCACGCCCACGGCATGTCCGTCATGTCCGTCGCTCCCGCCGGCGAGGAAGACCTCGTCCGCCACCGCGTCATCTCTCAGGTATGTCATACTACATCTCCCGCCACCGCGCCATTCAAGAAACAGAGCTGCGAAAACAAAAAAACGCAACCAAATTAAGAAAATTCAATCAAAATTTCTGTTCTTATTTTCTTAATCGATTTTGCTTGTGCGTCCTTGATGGTGGAGGTGCTGGAGCTGGGAGTGGTGGTGCACTCGCTCATCATCGGGATGTCGCTGGGCGCCTCCGACTTCCCGAGCACGGTGCGGCCGCTCGTGCCGGCGCTGACGTTTCATCAGTTCTTCGAGGGCATCGGGCTCGGCGGATGCATCGTTCAGGTGATTTACCCACACATTTACTCCGCACTCACAATTGTCAATTTCAACCTGTTTTTTTTTTTTTTCGAGAGAGAGAGAGAGAGAGAAAGATTTCAACGTTTTTGGTGTTCATATCCTATCAATCCATCGTGCTTACTAACTCGTCCGAAGATACCGATTTCAAACAAGAGGACAACTGATGTCTTGTACTACCAAAAAGTTAGAAAAAGACGTTCCGATTTTGCAGATTTACAGATGGGCCTTAGTACTTTGAGGGGCCCAGTTGTTAAATCACGACTCAAATCGCATCCCATCCTACTTCCCTGGGCGGCTGGGCCTCCACTAATTAATCTCAATCAAAAGTAATCCTTCTATTTTATATTATTATTAATCGTTTTAACTTTCTTTTTAAAATTTGACTAAGTTTATAGAAAAATATAACAACATTTTAACCCAAAACAAATATATTATCAAAATATATTTTATGTTAATTTTAATGAAATTAATTTCGTATTGTAGATGTTAATAATTTTTCGGAATTGCTAGAAAACTTCCGCAAGTTTTTTTTTGCCCCCAAAAAACTTTCAGATTTGTGGCCATCAGATCGCATTGAGATTTGTGCATGAAGGAAAATAATTGGTAGAAAGAAATTTTCACCCATCTCACGCGTAAGAACTTGATGCTAACCAAAACATAGTAGAATATAAGTTTTATATAAGTTATATTACAGTTACAGCGCAGTTGCAGTGTGGTTACGATGTAATTTCACTTCAATTATATTATAGTTATATCTGAAAATTTTTCACTCAAAAAACTTACTGCGGTTTTCTTAATACTCCTTAATCTTTCTATAAATTTAGGTAAACTTAAATAAGTTTGATTAAGAAAAAAGTTAAAATAACTTATAATATAACCTGTTCTTTCTTGTTTCTGCAGGCAAAGTTCCGTGTCAGGTCAGTGGTGACGATGGCGCTCTTCTTCTCCCTGACGACGCCGGCCGGCATCGTCGTCGGGATCGGGATCTCCTCCGTCTACGACGCGAACAGCCCAACGGCGCTGGTGGTGCAGGGGCTCCTCGAGGCGGCGGCAGCGGGGATACTCGTCTACATGGCGCTCGTCGACATCCTCGCCGAGGACTTCATGAAGACCAAGGTGCAGAGAAGGGGACGCCTGCAGCTCGCCATGAACGTCGCGTTGCTGCTCGGCGCAGGGCTCATGTCCATGATCGCCATCTGGGCGTGATGAGTGAGTGACCATCACGGCCAGCATGCGACGTGCGGCGTTTCAATTTGTTCGGCAGGAATGGCAGGTTTTTGTTCTTAGGCGCGTCTGATCACGCTCGCGCTCTCGCGAAGACCTGAGAATTCGTTCGAGGATCTCAAAAGAGAGACCACTCCGTTGGTTGAAACTGACGAGGAGAGGGGTCTCCCGTGCACGATATGTAGAACAGTTCAGTGACCATGTTACTCTGACTTGACTGACTGACCCGTCATCGTCGTCGTTGCTCTCTTACTGTGCAGAACTTGTAGAGTCGTGCACTTGCGCCTACCACTGTCCTTCATCTTGGAGGACAATAATGCCAGTGGTGGGCAGAATTCTGGTCTTGATGTGAATCCGTGATGTACGGGGTAAGACAAGGCTCGTGAATGAGTATACTCCATATCTGTAAAGCTCTATCATATCCGAAGGTCATCACGAGTTAGTTAGAGTGTTAATCCTTCCTTTCTGGGGGAAAAAGACATTATCAAGCCTGACGCTGTCCATGTGTTCAGCTTACATCTAAACATGGAGCAGTCCGATAAAAGGATATTCCATATATGTTTTTCCACCCTCCAGAAGTACCACTCTTCTACATTTTACAACTACTCCTCAATCATTTTTTTTTCAAAAGAAACTACTCATCAATCATCATGCAGTAGTATCTTTTCTATAGCAAAAATGGTGGGGGTGGAGGCTCCCTGTATTAATTTGGAGAGGATGGGAACTATAGGCCCTGTTTGCGCTAGGGGCTCTCCACCACCACTGCAACTTGCTCCGTCTCCTTTTTTCCCAGTCTTGCATACCGTAAAACACTATAATATACTTTAACGAACTCTAATATATTTGTCCTCACTTTTAATGAATTTCAATACGTTTATCCTATATTTTAGCAAACTTCAATATATTGTTTAATCGGTTTTGCTATAGTTATGTCGCCATAAATCTTCTCTAATTACAGTCAGTTTGTTAGCCCTCAAAGTTTCGTTTAGATTCATGCAGGACTACTTAATTTGCCATCGTGCGTGCAAGCACTAGTTCGTACTACATACACATGCACCTGTGCTGCTTGCTGTGATTTATCCGATCGATCACGTTCCTTTGCTATCTACATGTAAAATTACACTCTATTTACATATGTAATTTTAATATTTACATATGTAATTTTGAAATTTACATATGTAATTTCGAGATTTACATTATAAATATACTAAAATTACATATGTAATTTAGGAAGTTACAATGTAAATACATGCCGACTATTTTTTGGTGAAAAATATGGCGCCATAAATATAGCTACACCCTTGTTTAATTGCTTCAAAGATAAGAGTCCTTGAGGGACAAACACAAAAATAAAGATACTTTGTTGATTTGCAGGTGATTACCGCTGTATAAAAATACATACTCCCTCTGGTTCTATAATAATTGACACGTTTTGGACAGGGTTGAGGTTAAATTTTTATAACTTTGACCATCAATAACTTTAAAAATATTTTATTTAAAGAAACTAGAAAAACATATATATATATATATATATATATATGTCTTTCAAAACACTATAATAAAATAAACATGCATTTATTTATTGTATATATTATAATAGAAAAATAAGGTCAAAAATATATCTTGTAGAGCGTGTCATTGTCCAAAGTATCAATTAAAATGAAACCAGAGGGAGTATACTATAGCCTCCGTTGATTTGCAGATGGATAGTGGAGATTATGGGGCTAGCTTATGCTTGTTACTGTGCCCCTCTGCGTAGGATCTCGTGTTCGGGTGATCTACACGCTCAGCTCGCTCTGATATCCTGTCATATTGGTCTTCTGAATTCTGATCGCTGAATTCGGTTCGTTCACGCGGTGCGGCCAACGGCGATCGAGCAAATGGTCCGAGCACAAGGCTGTCCTATGTCAGATTCTTCAGATAGAAGGCCCGTGCGGTAAACTTAAATGGGCCTCGCGTTCTCGTCGTTCATGCATGTTTGGGCCAGAAAGGACCCATATTCCTCCAACTGTTGACAGGCCCATTATCCTATGTCAAAACTTCCTTTCCTTGGGATAAAGGTCCAACCGGTGAGTACCTAAATGGCTAAGGGCCCCTTGAATCGTAGGGTAGAAAAAACAGAGGAATAGGAAAAATACAGGATTCTGATAAGAATTGATGTGTAAAATAGAGGATTGCAAAACATAGGAAAAACACATGAATGGTCATTTGATTGGAGCGCAGGAAAAACGCAGAAATCGGATGAGAGAGATAGACTCAAAGGAAATTTTCTAAGAGGTTGGAGCTCTTGCTAAATTTCCTCCAAAATCCACATGCAATGTGTCATTCCATAGGAATTTCATAGGATTTAGAAAGCTTCAATCATTTGAATCAAAGGGCCAAATAGAAAGATTTCCTATAGGATTTGAATCCTATGAAATTCCTACATAAATCGTTTGATTCAAAGGGGCCATTAATCTAAGAATTTTTGTAACGGTCCATCTGGCCATGTTGAGAAATATCAAAACGGGAAATTGGCGGGTCAAGCTCCGATAATTCAGAAACAAGCACACCTCAAATAGATGCAGCCAGTGGAACTATAGCTATGATCTTAATTTTAACCAGACAGGTTGGACTAGTCATCGGTTGTTTTCTTATAATAAAAGTTATTTAAGTCCTCAGAATGCAAGAAGGTATGAATGATGAAATGTCATGCATGTATCATACATATATACCATGAGATTTGGAAATAGTGGATTGTAAGAGCAAGTGTCGTTGGAAACACTGAGCTCAAAACGAGAGAAAATAAAACAGAACAGTACAATTAGTGTGGAGATTATGGGTACCCCATACCTACATGGCATAGTTATCCGACTGGCTATAGGGGATAACTTATATCTATGGAATATGTAACAGATCATGACTTGGGTGTTACGTTTCCCTGTATATTATGGGACGGCCTAAAGTCCTGGTTTGATAAGATTGTAAAGTAGATTTAGGAAACCGATACTGTATTGGTTAAGGTTTCTATCTTGTAACCTTGCCCCCCAACCTATATAAGGAGGGCAGGGAGCCCCTCTAGGGGCATGATGATGAGACAACCTGATCGTCAGATCAATACACACTCGGCGGATTCAAATCCCCAAACAGGAGTAGGGTATTACCTCTCATTGAGAGGGCCTGAACCTGTCTAAATCCTTTGTCTCCACATCCATCCACTTTTAGGTCTCGTGCGCTACCCCGTTTTATTATTGCCGAATTCATGTTTCGACAATTAGGAGAAAGTCGTGATAGGTAGAAAAGCGGAGAGTGTGTTGGACTTCATGAGTGGATTAGGGAAGAGCGATCTGCTGGTTCTCTTTTAGTAAAAAAAAAAGGATAGATGTGAGCTAATCTCAAAATGTAACCTTCTGGTGATGTTTGAATCACCTAAAGATGAAGATAAAGATAAAGATAAAGATTAATTGTTTCATACAAAACGAGGTGATAATAACATATGATTAATTGAGTTTTAATTATTAAAAACTTGAAAAATATATTAATCTCATATTTTAGAACAACTTTCATATAGAAAGTTTTCGCACGAAACGCACCGTTTAGCAACTTGAAAAGCGTGCCACTTTTACCACTTTTATCCAAAAGTTTATCTAGTTTTTTTTTAAGAAAAGAACAGGGCCTCCAAAAGGATGTGTACTGCGCACTGACTAACAAGATTGCTCGAAGAAGGAGAAGAAGATAAAAGAAATATGATGGAGAAGAAAAAAGGAAGATGGAGCGAAAACACCCCAGCCGGTAGCTGCAACTTTAAGATTATTGTAATCTATATTATTAAGACAGGTTACTGTAAGCTGAATTATAATAAGCCGACATAAAATAAGCTGTGAGCCGTTTGTTTTCCTGGATTATAAGCTGTTTGTTAGCTGTTAGCCACCCAATAGTCTAAAAAAACACCTTTAGAGTGGATTACTAGATTGTAGTAATCTGGCTTATATATTATAATAATATATCATAATAAGTTATCTGTTTGTTTTAGCTTATTTCTAATAATCCAGATTATAATAATCCTAAGTTGAATGAAAAGAGCCCTAGACCCTAGCAATCCATCCGTTCTATAATTAAATTATTTTTAATCTCTTCAGTTTGTCCTAGAATATATTCACTTTTATAGTCATTGTATCAGAGTTTGTGAAAATGTGGTATAGATGTAATGGGAATATAGAAAAAAATAATTACATTAGGATTTGATAAAAGTGTGGATATCATAGTTTTTTGGGGTTTTGTAATATGTGTGGGATGTGTGAAAAATGAATGTATGCCCTGTTTAGATCCCACCCTAAATTTGTTCACCATGTCACATTGAACGTTTGAACATCTGCATGAAGTATTAAATATAGGCTAAAAATAACTAATTGCACAGATTGCGACTAATTTGCGAGACGAATCTTTTAAGCCTAATTGCTCCATGATTTGACAATGTGGTGCTACAGTAAACAATCGCTGGTTTACGGACGGATTATGTAATTAGTTTTTTATTAGTGCTCGAACACCCCATTCGACACCCCGGGAGTAAAGATCCAGGGGTATATATATTCCCGGTGCGCCCTCGTCTTCTTCACCAACACTTAAACGTTTTCGGCCGATCGATCTCTCTCGGCCTCTCTCCTTCGCCGCCACTGCCTAGGGCAAATCCCCGCGCCGACGCCGCCGTATCTCGCCGTCGTCTCGAGCTCGTCGTCCTCGCCGCCGCCTCCGCCTCCTCCGCTGCCGCCGCATCTCTGGGGTGAGAGCCGCCGCCGCCAGATCTCCCTTCATGCATCTCGATCTCTCCGATCTCGATCTCTCTCCGTCGCGCCGCCCGCCACGAGACGCCGCGCCACGACGACGACGCGCCACGCCGCCGCCTTCGACGCCGCGCAACGCCGCCGCCGCATGCCAACGCCACGCCGCCGCCGCCGTCGCCACGCCGCCGCCGCCTTCGCCGCCGCGCGCGCAATGCCGCCGCCGCCACGCCACGCCGCCGCCGCCACGCCACGCCACGCCACCGCCGCCACGCCACGCCGCCGCCGCCACGGCCCCACAACGCCACGCCGCCGCCACCGTCGCCACGCCGCCGCGCCAACCGCCGCCCCAATGCCGCCACACCGCCATTAACGAATGAGAACGAGAACGATCGAACGAACGAGAGCGAGAACGAACACGTCAACGTACGTTGCCGCGACAACGTGAACGAGAACGAGAACGATCGAACGAACGAGAGCGAGAACGAGAACGATCGAACGAAGACAAGCGAGAACGAGGGAACGAACGTGAATGAGAACGAGCGAACGAACGTGAATGAGAACGAGCGAACGAACGTGAACGAGCTAGGGAACGTGAACGAGCGAACGAACGAGGACGAACGTTAACGTGAAATGCAATATATATATATATATATATATATATATATATATATATATATATATATATATATGTATATGTATATATATATATATATATATATGTATATGTATATATATATATATATATATGTATATGTATATATATGTATATGTATATATATATATATATATATATGTATATATATATATA